AATACATGACGAAATTCAAGAATGAAGTAAAAGAAGAAAGAAAAAATGCGAAAAAAGGTTCAACGTAAGATGTAGGAGAGAGAGGGGGTGAGGGAGAGAGAGAGAACACGCAGCTCTTCCAGATATGTTTCAGAAAACGTCGATCAAACAAAAGAGAAATGAAAATCTCGACGTCATGAGAAAATCTAAGTACCACGAAAGATTGCAATTTAAGAAATACATCAACCAACTCTTTTCTTCTCTAACATGGAGATTAAGACAAACGGCGATCGCATTTTTGCCCGCGAGATAAGAACATTGCCCAGCCGAAAGAATAAGGAACAGGTGAGATCTTAAATGAAACACTGTTGTATTTTTTTATTCCAGATACCTTTGAAAGAAAGATTGAACCCCGTTACCGTGACCGGGTTTATTGATAACATGACAATTCGAAAAGATTAACAAGTGTAGTATACACACAATGAGAGCGGGAGAACCACATGGGTACAATTAACATAATTCTTTTAAAAATCTCCACAACAACTTTACCAACTGGAACATACCATGAACATGTTAATCATTAAGTGGCGAACTTCACACCACTATACAATAACAGTGACAAATAAAATCCCTCTATACTATAGACCAGTCTCACTAACCAGCTTAGTGTGCAAGCTACGAGAAAAAGACGATAAGAAAACAATGGAGTCGAAGTACCTGAGAAACATAACAAGATGCGAAAAGGGTAATTTGGATGCAGGGTGGGGAGATCATACGTGCTAGTTACTGAGGTACCTAGGGCTAAGGTGTATAAAAAAGCGTCACATAATATGCTAAAATTGGAACCTCAATAGACAAGTGTTACAAGAAATTTCGTAAGGATGAACGACCTATATGAAAGACAAATGAAGGACAGCCATTGGCGGTAAATACACAAGGTTCACCCTGTTATGAAACAAACATGCGCAGATAATTTGTTTATATATATATATATATATATATATATATATATATATATATATATATATATATATATATATATATATATATATATGCGCATGTTTGTATGTACAGTAGGTACAAACATATCTATCTAAATGCGTTTGCTTGAATGAATACATGCTCATCTGTATCTCTCTCCTTAATTCTCTTTTCTTTCTCTTTCCTTTGTCTTCCTTTATTTATTGCTCCATCCTCCTTTCTCTCATCTGATTCCCGTTTCACCTTCCCTTCGCTCAGAATGAGTTTCCTCCATTCTGCTTTCGCATTACCCATTACAACCTAAAAGTACACAACTAACACTAAACACTACGAACCACGAAGAATCATAGGCTCATCATAATCAATATATTCTAGACTTTCTTCCAGATAATATACAGTAATATAACCTGAAGCAGGAGGGCGTGGTGGGTCACACAAGGCCTCCTACAACAACATACATCAGCCAAGGGAATTCGGTATTTAGCATTAGCCGCATTTACATTTGTCCCTGTTGGTCCTGCTCGCACCCGGCTCTGGTGTGATTTGTCTCTTCTTTTTCTTCTTTCTTTTATATCTTTTTTGTTTGTTTGTTTGTTTGTTTTTTCCTCTCTCTTTTCATTTTTTATGTTTCTATTTATTGTTATTTTTCAGCTTCTGTTTCCTCTATTCTTTATTCTTCTTAATACTCTGCTTCTGTTTAGTCTGATTCTTCTTTCCCTTTGTTTCTACTATCTACTATGTCTACATTCTCTCCTTGATGTTATTATTTTTCTGTGTCTTCTCCATTGTCTCCTCTTCATTGTCTCTTCAATTGTTCTCCTTCGCCAATCAATTTCTCGTAAATTCCAGTTCACTTCCATTTTATAAAACCGGACTGAGTACAAGGTTCAAGGGTTAGGAAAAAAAGAAGAAAGAAGTAAACAAAAAAGTTGGTAAAGAAAATAGTAAATAGTAAATTAATAATGATAATAATAAAGGGGGAAAAATCTAAGAAAATAAAAGATAAAAAGAAAAAGTAAAACAGCTGGTAAAAAAAAGGAAAAAGTAAATAATTATAATAATAGTAAAGGAAAAAAACACAAATCAAAGAATATAGAATATCAAAAGAAAAGTAAAACAGAAGGACGTAAACAAAAAGTTCATAAAAAACACAAATACCCATAAAGTAAAAGTCAAATAAAATCTTGAAAAATAAAAAAAATAAATAGATAAAAAAGAAGATTAAAAAAAATCGACTTCTCGCACCACCGCGCCCGGAGAGACACCCGCCCAGTACTATAGACTCATCCTCAGACATGGTGCAAAATCAGACGAAATGGGCGCGCGGGTGGACTAGGGACAACATGACCCGGGCGGTGGGTGTGGTCTCTGGATGCGCTGGAGTGGCCTTCGCCCGAAACCGTTACCGAGGGGAAAAAATGAGAATTGGGAGCATCCACGATGCATCTTTTTGTTAATAGGCGAGGGATGTACCGTACTTTTGGTGGCCAAACATGGTTCAGGGTCGGACTGCCAAAGGTCTTTACAACATTGGGTTTGT